TTAAATCGCAAAACCTGCCTGTCAGAGAAGTGCACAGGATGCACCACCCAACAGATAAGAAACGATACCTCGATCTCTGTCTAGTCATACTGGACCTGTCTCCAGAGGGCAAACAGATATATAATATCACTAGAATATGCAATCTCACGGGGATTGTAGTAGAGTCCCCGCGTAATAGGGGCATCGTTGGCCAATGCCAATTATACGGCCACTCGGCTAAGAATTGTTTCGCCAGGCCTAGGTGCGTCAAGTGCTTAGCCGATCATGGCACTACTGAGTGCCCCCGCCCGAACGCCCGCCCGAGACGGAGGGCCCCTCCAAGCTGTGTTCTGTGCGGCGAAGAGGGACACCCAGCGAGCTATCGCGGGTGTTCCAAAGCGCCGCGTAGGAAGCAGAATGGAGGAGCAATCCGGCGCGGACGTGCGGGCAACCCCATTCTGCCCCATCGATCGCACCAATCTCGGTGCCGCAACCCGCGCCCGCTCAGGCTACAGCCAAGCCCGCCCCCCGTTAAAGGGACTTCCGGGCAAGGCCCAAGCCTTCCGGTGCCTTCAGCACCTAAGCCCAACGCATGTTCGTTAGTGTTCAACTTCGCTAGCAGCTTTAATGTGGCCGAAGTCACAACTCTAGCCCGCAAACTTCGCGAAGCTAAATCGATTCAGGATAGGCTCAATGCTACCATTGAGCATCTTAGTCTTATCCAAGCGATAGGTTCGTTCCAGTGCGCCTAAGCGACTCTTTTCTTTTTAACTAAAATGGAAATAAGACCTGTAGGTAGAACTAAGCCTAGGTCTCTGACTGTCGCGTACTTTAATGCAAACGGTGTCAGAGATCAAAAGGAAGAGATCATGTATTTTTTACGCGACCATGATATCGACATCATGCTAGTGCAAGAGACCTTCTTGAAACCTAGTTTGAGCGATCCCAAAATAGCCAATTATACCCTAGTAAGAAATGATAGGTTGACCGGACCTAAAGGCGGCACCTTGATCTACTACAAAAGGTCCTTGCAATGTGTACCGATAGATACTCCGCCGCTTACTAACTTAGAAGCGTCGGTCTGTAGGATAGCACTTACGGGCCATCCGCCATTAATAATTGCATCAGCATACTTATCTCCTTTAAAAAGTATATTAGATTCCAACATATCGGCTCTGTTAAACCTAGGCCCTAGCGTATTAATCGCAGGAGACCTAAATAGTAAACACGTTAGCTGGAATTCTAACGTTAACAACCCTAACGGAATAATACTAAGAGACCTCACGGAGAGACTTAACTTCGATGTTATCGCTCCCGAGAGTCCAACTTGTTATCCTTTTTCAAACAACCAACATCCGGACGTCCTTGATATAGCATTACTAAACGACATCCGACTTAGTATTAATTCGATAGACTATTATCGAGCTAGTCTCAGACCACAGGCCGGTCGTTTTACAACTGGGCCGGCCGGCAGGTGAGGTCCCTCAGACCAAAACTATTGTCGACTGGCGTAAACTTGAGGTCAAACTTAAGTCTACGAACTCCCAGCATTTGGACACTATACCTGACAAGATAGACTCGCTGGAGGAGGCCGATAGGGCGATTAGCGCCCTTTCGACTCACCTCACATCAGCGGTCGAAGATTGCTCCCGTAAGGTTCGTGTATCGAGCGATCAATACACGAAACTTCCGGCGGATGTTCGACGGCTGATTAGAGCGAAGAATTCCGCGCTTAAAACTTACGACCGCTATCGCACGGAAACCAATAAACTTCGGGTACATTCTCTACAAAACGAGATTAAAGAACGAGTAGCCGAGTTTAGAAACGATAACTGGGATAACCTCTTAGAAGGTATCGAACCATCCCAAGACTCCTTCTGGAGACTAACAAGAGCTCTTAAACCCAACAAATCCGCACCGATGCCGCCTCTCGTGAGGCTGGACCACCCCGATCTCGCCCTTGACGATCTTGAAAAAGCCGAATGCCTAGCAGACAGTCTAGAGTACCAGTGCACGCCATCCACTCCACCAATAGATCCCGCTCACCTATTAGAGGTAGAAACCGAAGTAGAACGTAGGTCTGCGCTGCCACCTGCGGGTGAACCACTCGATCCTGTGACAGTAGACGAAGTCACCGAAACCATAAAAAGTCTTAAAAATAGATCAGCCCCTGGGCCTGACGGCATCAGCAACAAGGTGATCAAATCCCTTTCAGCGCCACTTATTTGCCTCCTTGTTGGAATATTTAACACCTTTCTCACGAACTGCTCCTTCCCGGACATCTGGAAAGAAGCAGACGTAATAGGAATCCCGAAACCGGGTAAACCGCGCAATCGTCCCTCTAGCATAGACCCATTAGCCTGCTCAACACATTGGGCAAACTTTACGAGCGCATTATTCATAAGCGGCTCCGTCATTTCACCGAAGCTAACGGACTCCTCCCAGACGAACAGTTCGGCTTTAGAGCCAATCACTCATGCACTCACCAGATTCATCGCCTAATAAAATACATTCTGTCTGGCTTCAGCCAAAACCCGTTAAGGAAAAAGTCTCGAAACACGGGAGCCCTCTTCTTCGATGTCGCGAAGGCGTTTGACAAGGTCTGGCACGACGGCTTGATTTACAAGCTGTACAAACTGAACGTGCCCGATAGGCTCGTGCACATCATACGAGCTTTCCTTTCGAACCGCACTGTTCGATATCGAGGGGACGGAACTCGTTCTTCGAAACGTTTCCTCAAGGCCGGGGTTCCACAGGGCTCCGTACTATCTCCAATCCTTTTCACACTCTTTACGAGTGATATCCCAAAAGACCCCGTAGTGAACACCGCTCTCTTTGCCGACGATACGGCACTCTTTGTGTCAGACCCCAACAAACAGACCCCAACAAAAATAGACTCGCTATAAAACTCCAAAAAGCGACCAATCGCCTTGGTGAATGGTTTCGCCTATGGAGAATTGACGTGAATCCCGAAAAAAGTGTAGCAGTATACTTTCAACGGAATTCTACAGGAGGTTCTAAACCCAAAACAATCTCTTTATACGACCGCCCAATCCCTTGGGAAAAATCGGCCAAATATCTAGGCGTCACCTTCGACTCCCGCATGAGTTTCAAGACGCACATAAGTGTAGTACGCAACAGAGCCAAGTCAATAATTGGCCGTCTACACCCCCTCGTTAACAGTAAGAGTTTCGCTAAGACACAAACTCCGGCTGAACAAAACCTGCATTAGACCAGTTATGTCCTATGCAAGTGTAGCTTTCGCCCATACATATAAGATCCATATTTTAAAACTCCAAAGAGTACAAAATTTTTTCATCCGGAAAGCCACCGGCGCACGGTGGTATCAACGGAACTCTGACTTACACAATGATTGTGAACTACTATCTATCTCCGAATATTTTAAGGAGATGTCCCAACGCTAATTTGATAAAGTAGAAACCCACCCTAACGCGCTAGTGGCAAACGCAGCTAACTACGTTCCGATAGCAAACGTCGCGCCCTATCTCCGTAGACCGCGAAATGTTTTAATAGAACCACCTATATCGCTCGATCCAGTCGACCCAAGCGTCGCAGGCACATCACACAGCGACACTACATCCACACTAAATGGTACAAACACAAATAGGACAACGAATGGGATGCGGCGCACCCGCAGACGGGCACGACGCGTTCCAGCTCACACCGCGTACACACCGTACACCCGCGTTCCTGGACGGTTCTCACCGCCCAGACCATCGACCGACACGAGCTGAGCAGTCAGAGACGGGGGTCCGCACACCCCCCCTCGGACTGCGGTTAGATAGCTCAAAGAAAAACGCCTAAAAGGCGACATGATGATTGGTAACAATACCAAATCATAAACCATCTCATCATCATCCTCACCCCATTGCCTTTCCCTTTTAATTAGGTCTCAGGGCTCGCGGCCTTGCAGGCCAACATGACAACAAGATGAAGCTGTAAGAGTCGCATAGACTAACAGCACTAACATCAAGATAATAGAGACTATTGGTTTAATACTCAAAGGAGTTAAGGTATTGTAGAATAACCACGTCTAAAGTTCAATGCGTGTTGGCGAACTTCACATGTCTTCGAAATATTTTTTTTTATTTCTCAGACATGCAGTTTTCCTCACGATGTTTTGCTTCACCGCCGAGCACGTGGTAAATCAGTACTTAAAATTGCAATTAAAAATTTCATTGGTGCCGGCGGGGATCGAAGCCTGTTTGCTCGCATACTGTGATATTTACAGCGAGCGCTACCCATCTGAGCTACCACGGCTTATAATATATGTATATATGTATATTATAAGATCAGCGAAGTAGTCGTAAAATTACCAAACAAAGTCCAAATCACACAAAAGTCCAATGAGGAGAGGAGTCCAAGGAGTAGTCACACATACGACACCCAACAAGTCGAGAAACGCACTAAATACCTGCCTATGTTATGTGCTCAGTCGCGCGAGGAAAGGTATTTTAATGCATTTCTAATAGAACAACACAAAAATCCATATATATATATATATATATATATATATATATATATATATATATATATATATATATATATATATATATATATATATATATATATATAGTGGATTTCATTAATAGCGACTTCGGTTATAGCGTCAATTTCGGGTATAGGGACTTGTTTTTATGAACTATTTATGACCGATTCCTAGAAATCCCTTGCGGATATTGCGACTGAGTCGGCAAAGGCACAAAAAGATTCATTCATAAAACTATTAAGCTTTCTTATCCTTTGTTTACATTCACAGATGGTCAAACTAATGCTTTGTTTGTATGTATGACTACGTTGCATGTTTACGAAGTTAAACTTGTGAATCAGACATAGCAATTCCAGTGAGTGCACAGTGTTTCTTAAACTTGTGAATATGGCTCCTAGACGTACATGTACTGTTAAAGAAAAAAGTGGACATCATTTCTAGACTGCAAAATGGAGAAAACCATGTGGATCTGTGTAAACAATTTGGAGTTTCACATTCTACAATATCAACGATGTGGAAAAATCGCGCTAACATTATGGAGTGTTTTGAATCAAAATCCCTAAAAATAAAGAAAAATCGTAATCCAACTCATCAAGATATTGAAAATGCTCTCCTAGTGTGGTTTAAAGCTCAGAAAAGCCAAAATGTACCCATAAGCAGTCCTCTTTTGCAAGAGAAAGCTAATCATTTTGCCAGACAGATCGGGAAAACAAACTTTGTATGTTCAGAAAGTTGGATTTACAGATTTAGACAACGTCATAATATTGTGGTCGGTAAAGTTTGTGGGGAAGCCGCCAGCGTGTCGCAAAATGACTGTGACGATTGGTTGAGAACAGTTTTACCAAAATTAACTGAAGGGTATACCGACAGTCAAATATGGAACGTTGATGAGACGGGATTATTTTTTAAATTGACTCCAGATAGAACACTAAAATTCAAAGGAGAAAAGTGTGCTGGTGGCAAACTATCAAAAGATAGAATAACCGTGCTTATTGCTTCAAGTATGGCAGGCGAAAAATGAAAATTGCTGGTTATAGGGAAGGCGAAAAAACCCAAGCCAACAAAAAAGCGTGAGTGACATCGGAGATTTTTGAAAAATTTTTACGGAAATGGGACTCTCAGCTAAGAGGAAACAAATGAAGATCATTTTATTTATTGACAATTGTCACCCACAAATTCAAAATTTGACTAACATCACACTGGCATTCTTACCACCGTGTTTAGTGGTCAGATTTTTTTTTATAGAAGAAGGGGCAAACGAGCATGTGGCTCATCTGATGTTAAGTGACTACCGCCGCCCATGATCAACCGCAACACCAGGAGAATTGCGGGTGCGTTGCCGGCCCTTTAGAAAGGAGTAAGCGCAGATCAGTTATTCAGCCTATTTATCAAGGTATAATTAAGACTCTTAAAGGCCATTATCGAAAGCTTCTAGTTGAGAAAATGGAAAACGTCATTAAAAAAAATATTACCCCATGTGCCATCAATCTTCTGGATGTCATTGAAATGACAACAACAGCATGGGCACGAGTTACTCCAGGCACAATAAAAAAATGTTTTTTACATACTGGGTTTGGTAATTTTTCGAATTTAAATACAACTGATGACGATTCTGATGATGAATTGGACAATTTGCCATTGGCGAGATTATCATCAGCGGAAGCAACAGTTACGGATTGGGAAACTTATGTGAATATTGACGATCAAGTTATCACTACTGATAACTTGACTGATAATGAAATTATTGAGTCTGTGCTTCAAACACAAGAAAAGGAGGATGAAGAAGAAGAAGAAGATTGCAGTCTAAATGAGATTCCAACAACTAGAGATGCATTATGTGCTATAACAACGCTCAAAATGTTTATTTGGTGAAGGCCAGAATAATTTATATGTTGAAGGAATTATGAAAATGTAATACACCTTAAGGCTACAGTCTTTTAAAGTTGACTCACATCGAATCATTAGCGCCACTTTGATTTCTTTTTTTACAGCAAATTATTGTTTCAGAGTAAAATATTTTGATAACACATAAATACCCAGATTATAAGTAATGGCTAATTTTTTTTTTTTGGTTCATCTATGTGGTCTATGTTAGATAAATCAAACGGTAAATGGAGCTCTCTCGCACCCAACGCAATTTCGAGCTTTGTTCGTGTATCATTATAAGGCAATCGATAATAAAAAAGGCGAAATCTATTCAGCGCGTTAATAGCTAAACATCTTCATCTCCAAAATGCGCTGTTTCTTTTTTTCTAAATATCTTTCATTGTCTTAAATAAGAGGTCTCAATTTCGTTAAATTTCGCTGTTTTCGCCTCATAAAAAACTATTTGTTTCATAGCAATAGCTGAAAATATTTATGCTATAATTATTTTTTTCTCAAGGGCAGGTGTTTAATTAGACAAATATTAAAAAATAATAATTTAAACCACTTTATTTCAAAATTAATAATTATTTCGATCGACCTATAAAATATTGACTTTATAAACAATAATTGCGGGCAATATTCCTTAGTAGCCGCTGAGCGGCTGTAGCGTTCAGACGTCTTGTCTGTGCCAAATTTTTGCACTTCCTCTCGCTCTAACATTCCTCTTTCTCTCTCTTTCCCTAATCTTGGTTGCGCATTGTTACGAATTGAAAGTTCCTCTACTTTATTATTTTTTGCATATAATTCTTTAAGGGTTTATAAATCATTTTGTATTTGTTTTATAACTTTTAATTTCGATATGGACCATAAACGTAAAAAATATGCTTGTACCAGAAAACGAAAATTGAAATCAAACGTTGAAGCAATGAACAGAAATAGAATTCAAAGGTAAGTTTTTTTGTGTTTCATAGTAAAATAGTTAACAACGTGCATATGTGTGAGCACTTGGTTAAATATTAGGTATATAATTAGGTAGGTACTTTTAAGAATAGTTTATAAATGAGTTGCATATTTGTAATGCATATAGGTAAATGCTATACAAAGTTACATTATACTTTAATGAGAAACTATAAATATGTGTGATAGTGGACTGTTTGTACTTATATAGAAATTATTTTGAGTTTTTTTTTTAATCTATTTTAGTATTTAGAACTACTTGACGTACTTGACGGATTTTCGATAGTGTCATCGACTTATTACGAAACCCTCAGTGCACGACTCATTCTAGCACTTGCCAGATTCATTTGAATAATCAATAATACGAGTACATGTTATACAGGTTCTAGATGATTATCTTTTAGAAACCTTTTCAACAAAACAACAAAAATTATACAAACTTAAAATATTTTTTTTTGTGTAACGAATTTTGTAATAAAAGCATGGAACAAAAATAGATACGAGGTAGAAAATCTGTATGTGAAAATTTGTTAGCTAATTATCAATAATCCTGTATATTAGATAAATTGATACTGGAAAATCTTAGTAGAGCAACTTTCCACGCTACGGCCAGAAAGATAACTGCGGTGGCGGTACATGAAGTGGCGGGGCAGGGAGGGTGTAGATGTGTCACCAGAACGCAATTTTTCTGTTTTGCTCTGAAAGACTGGGCTCTTAAAGAGTGGACAAAAAACTAAACTTAAACAGTGCACTATAACACGTCTTTTTAATAACACCCGTGTATAACATAATTAAATAAATGATAAGTAAATATGTACACGACTTTTTATTATTTCGGATCTAGTGACCTCCGGATATAGCGATGAAATTAGAGTGGTCCCTCCGCCGTCGTTATAACCGAAATTCACTGTATATATATATATATATATATATATATATATATATATATATATATATATATATATATATATATATATATATATATATACTGTACTATCAGGCGCTCCAGGATTATCCATTCTTTCCGGGACACCTGTATATACAAGTTTGTACGTTTATTATACAAAATGCAAACTCTTATTCCCCTATTACACCACGCTGAATCAGAGCCCTGAATGAAGGGTGGAGGTGGCCCTTAGTTAGGGATGTCAGTTATTACACTACCCTGTTTTTACGCCCTTACTCAGTCATAGGAATGGACAGGTGAAAAAAGTATATATATTTATTGAGTGCGTTTAGCAGAAAAAAAGCGCTAACAAGCACTTGTAAGCAAAATGGTGAAATTAAACAGTTTTCGGCCAGGGCACGTTTGCTAACTTCAGTAGCGCTGACACAATCCGCCATTTTGCTTATTTAATTTGTTTGTTTTGAAGTTTATAAGTTATTTTGTGCAATATTAGTTGTAAGTAATATAATGACGTGAATATACATATTATACATGTTATTAAAAATTCATGATTGGTAAGTTTTTAATATGAATACTTTACAAACATATATTTTAATTAGGTTAAGTTCCCCGGTTAAAACTAACTTCGTGTCCTAGAGGAAAATAGCTACTTACGATTTGACAGCGCTTACCGCTTACGATCGCCATTTTGCTTACAAGCGCTTGCTAGCGCTTTTTTCTGCCAAACGCACCCATTTACTGTGTTTCGTCCTGCTAACTCTAGTTGTGTAACTCGAGTTTAGTTCGAGTTGTGTGAATTTGAACTTGAGTTAACTCGAGTCGTAATTTTTCCAAGCAAGCACATCTATAGGATGCAGCATCGCTCATTAAAAACATCAAAGCTTATGTACGATATATCGATTTTTCGATGTTTTTTATCATCATTTAAATATATAGAAATGAAACAAAGAAGTATAATAATCAAGCATTATATTTATGTTACTTTAGGAAGTTTTACACTATTCATTTTTACACATTTAATTTTATCGAATAATTATCAGAAAACAAGAATTAATTACATTTTTTTTACATTTATCTTTCGAATTGAATTTTAAAATAACAATTTTGACAACCTGGTGCCTAGTAAGTGGTTTCTCTCCTAGGTGATTCTAGATCCAGCCTCTGAAAATAACTGCTCATGGGATACAGAAGTTGCCACGAGGCAAATAAATCTTATCTAGGCTATGAAGCCCGGGAAGTAATCTTTTCATGATATCCCACATGTAATATATGAAACTCGTCTTCTGCTTTTCTTATTATGTGGTGCGTTAATTTTTTATGGTAGTTCCATATGTTACCTTCAGTATTATCGCATTTTCTGAATACATCTACGAAACTATACCGAAATACAAACAGGTGAATAGCCGTTCATCCATAAAAATCAATATTTCAGAAAAATGATTGTAACGAAACACGAAGTACCGTAAGCCGATAAAATAATTTCCATTACAAAATAACTATTAACTTATAAGACTGTACTTAAGCTATTCATTAAGTTAAATCTCAAACAATATATAAATATAAACTTATCTTAATTAATTATCACAATAAAAATAAGTACAAGTTTACATCGAAAATGGAATTACCGATAGAAGACAATTGTACTTCTGAAGTTCAAGTATATTTATTTTCGGCTGAAAGACCATTCGCGTGTTTGTTGATTCATGATTAAAATTTTCAGGATTGAGTTATTTCTGCTAAATACTCGTAAACCTTCTAAATTTAAAAATTTAGACGTTATCTAACTTTGTCGTATTTTGTTTCGAATATTTATTTTTTGGCAACATAAAATTCGTGATAATCATCCTTCGCAACTTTTAACATACGGAATTTTATACCTTCTAATAGTTGGTTATTTCGTAACTTTTTGCGGCGAAACATCGTTCATAAAACATAGCTCATTAAGAACCATGTTTATGAACGATATATCTATGTTTGAAAGAATTGATGTATCGTTTGCATCCCTAGTTGCGCATCGAATAGGTGCCCTAACTCCCTTAGATTAGTGTTATTACACTGCACGGTGGAAGGGCACTGCAGACCGGGTCCACTTTGACGCCTGAATTAGAGACCCTTACTCCCTTTCTCTTATTACAACACCCTGAATCAGGGCGTAGCGAGCCTGATTCAGGGTAGTGTAATAGGGGTATTAGCCCTTGGCGGAAACTTGACTGCCGGCGGATCGTTACCCCGTTGTCTTTGAGTATTCAACCAACTGGAGAGGCCATGCGCGTTAATTCCTTAACAAAAATTCTGTCAACATCAGGGGGGCGCAAGAAAACCACACAACTGTATACTTAACTACAAATGCAAAATTAAATCGCGTCACTATAAACGCACACTACAGCATTTGCGTTTGTGTTCATCGCGTTTACGCATACCATCAAATTGTACACGTGTCGATACACTGATGGCGCTGTCTAAATGCGTAAGCAACGTAAAGCGTGGACTATGTCGAAATTTTTTTCGATAAACAAATCACCATAGTCCGCATAAGTTTTTATTTGATTATAAGTAATACATAGATAAATAATACCAATGTGTTATTTGAAATTCTTTTTTTATAGTATTTAGAAATGTTCTTCGGAAAAAAACTTAGAAATTATTGAATATAAGTTTATTATTTTGCTACAGGTTTATTTTACATTATGCAGGATAAAATTTAAAACATTTAACAAATTGAAATAGGTTTAGTTAAGTTATTTTAAAAATCAGATTTGTGAAAAGAAAAGTCCTATCAGTTTATCGTCTTAGATGGTGTTAACCAAGTTTTTGTTTTTATTATAAGGCTTCAATCACAAAACCGCTATTTAAAAAAAGTTGTTGATTTTCAAGAGGTATTAAACGAACTATCTGGAAAATATTTAATAAATTATCACAACAAAAAAGTTTTATACTATATAATAGTTTAACCAAGTGAACTTTAAGCAGACAGCTGCTTAAAAATAAAACGTGATATCTACCTAGGGTTAAATATTCCCCAGAAAGATGTTTTGCTTTAACTTTACATTACTATTCACCGAAAGCTTAACAATATGTGCGAAATATCAAAAGTTTTGAAATTGGTCTACCTTCATCACATACTATAACATAGTGATACAGT